ACGGAAAGAGGCCTAAAATAAAATAATTTAGCCTCAAACGGACTCTTCTTCTACGAGCTAAATATTTTTGGCAAAATGATGATTATATTTCCATTCCAGTAGCCTCTTATTTTATGTAAAAGAGACTCGAATAAATGGTTACCAAAAACTATTTTGTGGTAAACTGTGATTAAAACATCACGGATCGGCCATAAAATCAAAAGCTTTGTTACTTTCACGTAGGAACCACAGTGTCGGATGTTGTCTGTATGTAAGAAACATTGTAATTTGTTCATTATCAATCATATGGTTAGATAGTGCCAAAAAAAAATTTGAAAGTGTTCCAGTGGCCAACTGGTATACGGTATTTTTGTAACCACCAAAAAATTTTCCTTGAAAGAAGGCTTTGTTCGTGCCTAAAACATCCTCCATGTTTAAGGGAGATTTTACATCTAAATCTTTCTTATTTGCTTCACCGACAGCAATGATCATTTGTTCTTGAGCAATAAGCATATTTACTTTGTTTAATGCAGGAAATGGACGAGTATACTGCTCTTCTTTTTTAATAAATCGACTAAAACCAGCATCAATCCAAAAAAATGTTTGACTTTGAAAAGGATTTAAACTGATGGCTTCTGACATCCAGATCATTTTGGCATGTTGGATAATTGGATATAAATTATTTCGATTGGTTATATCTTCAGGATGACGCATTTTGGAACGAAAAACTGGATATATTTGTGTATAAATCATATGTGAAAATTCTTCAAGAGGAATTTTATCTTCAATAATAAAAACTGTTTTAAATTTTAGATTTCCCGGACGCATCGCACGTACTTTTGCCTCTATGTTAGACGGAATATGGATAATAAACGGACAATCGAGTTTTAACGTTTTTTCCATCCATCGTAGATAATCATTTATACTTCGTCCTTGATATTCTCTTCCTATATCGTATAAAGCAGTCACTAAAGTAGCATTATTATTTCTAACGTTTAAAACATTGTTCGCATCAGATGTATTGGTGAAATTTAAATGATCATTCCTGCACCGACTATATTTTGAGATTATTTGAACATGATTGTTTTTTGATATTAATATGTAAGTCGACACAAAAAATATAAATAAAATTAAACTAAGAATGCACAGATACTTCGCATTGTGATTAAACATGTTAGACGAGTGTGCTAACATTGAAACTGATAAGCCACGCCACAAATACTGGAATACTAAAAGATTATTATAAATTAGGTGATCTGTCTGTGTATGTCATCCTTTTGATCATGGACACAATCTTCAGCTG